AATTCTGTACTAAGAGAAGCATGCCTACTGACAAACAGTCGGCTACTCTCCATGTTTAATTTTCATTTTTACCTAAGAGAGACATGCCTACTGACAAACAGTCGGCTACTCTCCATGTTTAATTTTTACTTAAGAGGGGAACGCCGCTTGTTTCACACAACCGGCTACACTCCCATAATACAGTTCACCAAGAACTATCAAAGGCTCATAGCTAAAATGACCAGACCAGGTGCCAAGCCAACTGATCAAAATATAAAAATTCAATTCGACCTGTCCCAACGTTATAGCAGGCGTCCGACGGCATCCATCCGGATGAAATTCGTCGCAGAGAGCAGCTCCCTTTTGGGTGGAACATTGTTCTATAAAATCATTACACGACACCTATACGACTGTCTAAACAAGACAACCACGTAGCTGTTTCCCGGACAAGGATACCTCTTAACTGACTAATCAGGTCAAACAAGTGTTCGCAGTAACCATCCGTGTCAACCAACCGACTGAACTACTTGGGATAAGAACAGTTGGTATCTTATGAGTTAATAGCCAACAATTATTAGCGAATAAAGGGGAACAACCGGTACCCACCGCTTGATTCCTCTACTACTCATTCACTTGGCGACTAGGTAACAATTATGTTAACTTAGTCACTCCTTAAAAAAAAATTTAGTATGAAGCTAATAAGGTGTTCATACATCGCATGTTCACACTAGATTAAAGGTGGCGGGGAACAGTCGGCCTAGACCGACTAGAGTCTCTAGCTTAAAAAACAAAGAAACAAATAAGGCAGGTAGGAAACCACCTTCCTACTTGGTTGAAGGAAATCCATTCTTTAAAATGGCCGACTGATCGCTTAGCCTGGAAACAGACAACCAGTCGTCCAGGGGCATAGGTGGTGTGACTAACTATCTCGTACCTGTCCGCAACTATCGGCCATGCAAAACAGTCGGTATAGTGTACAATTGGATATCAGAATATTCGATACTTAAACAAATTCGAAGCAAAACAAAAATGAAATATTTTGGCATAAAAAGAAGCCGGTCATTTAAGACCGGCCAAATATTCAGATACCCGGCCCCCTGGCCGGGTAAATATAAACAAACGGCACGCAGGCCGTGAAAAGAAGACATAAAGCTTAAGAAGGGGGCAGGTCTTCAATATTAGCAGCTGCCGCCTGGTCAACACTCTATTTGCTGGACTCGGCTTCAGCTGCATCCTTCTTCGATGCATTACCCCCATGCGGCACAAGCGCCACTACCGGCTCCTCCTCCTCCAACGCCTCGTCCTCAGCAGCCGCCAGGATCTCTTGATTATATCTATCAGAACACTGGCGGTACGTTTTTTCCCAGGAGGAATAGTCGGCATTGGGGAAGAGGCGGCCCTAGGTCATGCGCTGGATTTGAGCAAAGTCTTCCATCATCTCCCGGACCAGCTCTTTCTTTTCTTGCTCGGCCTTTTCCGAGAGCTCCTGAGTAAGACTCTTCTCCTGGGTCACCAGGCGTTCCTTTACGTGCGCCAAGGATTTCTCCAAGGTGTCGTATGAGGACATTTTTTGGCGAAGAGGTCTCAACTCGGCCTTGAGATTGTTGATGGTCGCCTCCAGCTCGCTATTTTTCTTCTGGGCCGCCTCTAACTGAGCCTAGATGGCAGAAGTAGCCTGCGCCTGATAATAAAGAATGTCAATTGTCAGAACTTCATTTTGGGCAATTTGAAACATTGCCTTATCACAGTCAGAGGCGGCCATAGCTTTTGCAGCCTTTACCTCTTTGTTCTTCCTGTCAAGCGGCATGCGGAGGCCGTTCACTCGGAGCAGGGCCTAAGTAAAAAGGGAACAGGCGTCAATTTCCAAACAAAAAACAGGCGTCCTAGAATTCAAATAACCAAAAATATGCTAAGTATACCTCAGCAAGGACCCCTGCAATCCCGTCTAGGTCAAGGGTGCCGACACCCTTGACCGCCTCCCTTTCAGCTGGAGGAACGACCTTGATCATAGACTTGGCCACCTCGACCAAGTCAGGCTCATGAGGGCCGGCTGCATCAACCATATACAAACGAGTTAGACCTAGTAAAGAAAGGAACAAGTCTAAATTCACAAAGACAGCTTCATACTTCTAGGCGGTCCAATTGGAGTTTTAGAAGGAGTGGCCGGCTGTTTCTCAGCCGCCGCATGTTTCCTGGCAGAACCAGGAGAGCTCGCCACAGTCGTCCTCCGGGCCTTAGAGTCCGGCTGTTGGGAAGAAGAAGCTCTTGGAGCGCCCGTCTAAAAAAAAAAAAAAACAACAACAAACAAAAACAAAACAACACTCGGTCAATATATGCATAAACCCAACTCCAAAAAGAGAGTGAAAGGTTCGAAGCTCACCAAGGGCGCCCCCTTGTTGGGGGAGTCGGTTGAGGACTGTTGCATGATAGAGGCCCGCAACATGGCCGCCGCAATCTTGGAGGCGGTAATTTTGCTCATGGCGTCCGCTGCAGAAACAAATAGCAAAGTTAAATAAAAGTCATAACAGTGACGCATGAAAAAACAGAGTATTCGACAGGCCGGCTACCTCTTGAGCACCGACTGCTGAGGCCACAGGCGGCCAAAAAGTACTCGTCGTAGAGCCATTTGAAGCTCGGGACGCAGTGTAGGGGTACTTGCTCTCGTACCCCTGAAGTAGAGTTCACCCTCGACTCTACTTTGAAGAGTCCTTTATCTAGGATCTCTTTCTTAGCCTTGGGGGGAACAGGCGGCATGCTGCGGCCGCCTGCAAGAAGGGGCGGATTCCTGTTCCACCTGTTGAAGCGTTTGTTCAGCTCTGTGTCTGAACTCTCAATGATAAGGAAGGTGCTTCGCCAGTCCTTCCATTTGTTTGCTTTACCTCTTGTCATGAGGTAGCCCCTGTGGCTCGTCAATTGATACCAGCCGGTACCGCCTGCCTTAGGGGTCCGGCTGAGGTAGTTCATGTGGGCGAAAGCCTCGAAGTTTGGCTCCACCCCGTGCAGTTCGCACCCAGCCACATAGCCGAGTACGTTGACCCAGGAGTTCGGGGCTAACTGCCATAACCCCAACTCATACCCATCCAAGATCCGTTGAACAGCCGGATGTAGTGGGAAGCGCAGCCCAGCCTTGATGGTCGCCTCGTAGCAGCCAAAGCAGGCGCCATCATAACTAGTACCAGCCGGCCAGACGACTGTGTCTTCTGGATCCGGCACGAACACTAAAAAGCTGGGGCCCATTGTGTGGTTCGCAATAAAGCTCCCCACTTTCTCTTGCATGGCCGTTATCCGGCCCCGTGGGACAGTGCAGTAGTAGGGGGTATTTTGCTCTCGGTAAGAGGCGGATGGCTCCGCCCAATTGTCCCCCTTCTCAACTGCGTGAGAAAGCCTCGCCTCTTGTAGGCGACTGTTTTTCTCTTCTGTGTCCAGAGAAGCATGACCAAAGAGCTAGATTCGGATTTGTCCTCTGACGAGTCCGAAGAGGACGACTCCTCCCCTCTCCCAGAGGGGCCCGCCTCCTCTCCTTTAAAAGGAGCAGGAGAGAATGTAGACTTGTCAACTGTAAAATTGGAAGGGGTCACTTTGACTCCTCCCTCAGAACTGCCGGCTTTCAAGCCGCTTTGGTTCACTTCCACATCTGGCGCCTGGTTAGATGTTTCACTAATCGGCACCCTGTGGGAGGAGCCGTCTGAGTTCGAAATCCTAGCAGTTCTTTTTGTTCTGGCCATCATGTTCTGCATAGACACAGAGACAGTCGGACTTTGTATAAAGGGCAAAGATGTGTCCGGAAAAGGGCAGGCGGCACTCCTAGTCCTAGATTCAGCCGTCCCCGGTGACCGGCTGATCACTAACCTAGGTCGTGTCGTGTGCTTCCGTGGTGCCATTTCAAAAAGAATAAAATAAAGAGAAAATTAAGAGTAAGAGAACCGACGGTTACCTGAACGAGTGACGTTGATGGAGTTCTGAAAATCCTTTGCAGTTGGCTTGTCAGAGCAGGCGGTAGGCAGAAAGGGTCCAAAATGTCAGAGCAAGTTCAGGGGTCCGAATGTTCTCTCACAAAGTTCTCAAGTGTGAAAATGACCGAAGTCAACACTCCGTTATATAGGCGAAGTGAGAAGGCGAAGGGTCACCTCCAGAATTCAAAATTTTGGCGGGAGAATCTCTCGGCCTTTCGCCGAGTGACACCTGTAGCAGGCCGTCGCCTGTTACAGGGCGACACCTGTCACAGGTAACACGTGACCAGTCACGTGCCACCTGTGAGGGGCAAATGATTAGGGGATTTTGCTCCCACCAATCGGAATGCGCCACGTGGGCCAATCAGGTCCTGCCAAGTGTTCCCCAGTTGGAACTGTCAGGGCTTGCCACGTGGCACACGCTTATTCGTCCACCTTGGACCTATTATGTCATGACACGTGGCATACTCCATGCCTAATGGAGAAACCGGCCACCCAGGCCCAACTTCCGAGGGAAGCCCAATCAGCCCTAGGTTAACCTAAACCTAGGATTAGCACGTTTCCCAAGGTTATAAATACCTCCCTTAATCCTCATTAAGGGAGATTACACACATTAAACACTCTCACCTAGAGAGACCCAATCACTTTAATTTCCGCATTAATTACTCAATCAAGTACTAACTTGACCGTCGGAGGCGGGTCTCCAATCATCCGGAGCATCCGTTTGTTTTGCAGGTATAGGCGTCCGGTTCCAGTCTCGGAATTGTAACTCTCCCGCAGGACATCAGAAAACCCCGAAACAACTTCTACAATCGCAGATAATAAAGTGTTTGTTACTCGCGATAGTTTCTTTTATTGACAATATACATAATAAGGTTGATTCAGCCGAATCATTCATCAATTGAAAAGTTACAAAAATAAGTATACATTATTTAGATTACCATTAAACCTTTGATCTTTTAAAGATAGGGTTTGTAAGGGTTTTTTTTTTTATTATATTTTTTTTTTTACCTTTCAAGCGCCGACTCAAAATTTAAATGACAATATAAATAAAATATAAGACGATAAAGCAAATGGCAAAATACAATAATCCAATCTTTCTTGTTTGAGTATCTATGATAATGATGAAGAATGCAGTAGCGGCAAAACACGAATAGGGGGGTAAGGTAAGGTAACGCAGCAGCAACAACAACAATAACAACAGCAGAAGCCGCTTTAACTTCAATGGCACGCCTCTCTCGCCTTTTCTTGACCCTTACTCAATCCCACCCACTCTCTTTCTTCCTCTCCACCCCACCTTCACCTTCATCTCATTCTTCTTCCTTCTCTCTTCTTCAATTCCTTCTCTTACCATTCTTGTAAAATCTCCTCTTTTTCTCTCAAAATTCTTGAACAATCTGCCAAAGTTCTGCTCCTTTCTCTCTTTGATACCACACCCTCTTCCATGGGAACCGAGCCTCCGCCGCCCCCACCGCCGCCGTTGCCGCCGCAGTCTCCGCCGAGGATGCTTCTCCCTCCTCCATCGCCAACCCCCGCAACGGCTACATCGCTTGCTCCTGGCTTCAGATTCCATCCTACTGACCAAGAGCTTGTTAGCTACTATCTTAAACGCAAAATTTGTGGCAAACCCATTCGCTTTGACGCTATTTCTGAGACCGATATCTATAAGTCTGAACCGTGGGACCTACCAGGTTCAATTCTAGACTTTTTTTTTTTTTTGAGGTTGATTATTGATGATGAATAAGTATGGGGTTGAGGGTATTTGCCATTTGAAATAATTCGACGGAATTTTGACATGCAATTGTGTTTTTGTAGTTGTCAATTTGAATTGGTAAAAATTAGAATAAAGTGAATTTTTGGATTGTTATTTTTTAATTGTTTGAATTGAATTGGTTATGGTGTAAGTTTTTTTTTTTTTTTTTTTTTTTTTTGTTGATTTATAATGTACAAGTTGTGATTTAATGCTAAATTATGAATTGGTCAACTATTGTCGATGTCAATTACTGTGTAAAAGTTTGGGATATTGAAATTGAAGTTGGATTTTTTGTTTTTTTTTTTTTTTTCAAATTGTTTAATGAATTGGATTTTCCCTAAGTATTTTGAGATTTGATAATCAACCAGTTAAAAAAAATGAATTGATTTCCTGTTGAATGCTTCCTACACTTATTAGAAGATTTAGTTGCCCGGAAGTTGTGTTCAGGGCATACCAAATTTTCGTTGTATGCTTTTAAAGGTACAATTTGGTTTTAATTTGGTCTAATTTGGTTTTGTTTACTTTGTATTGTGAATTACAGCTTTGTCAAAGCTGAAGAGCAGAGACAATGAATGGTACTTTTTTGGTGTACAAGATAGAAAGTATGTGAATGGTTCTAGAGTGAATCGAGCGACAGGCAAAGGGTATTGGAAAGCCACAGGTAATGATCGCCCTATTGTACACAACTTTCGCACAGTTGGTATGAAGAAGACTCTTGTCTTTTACAGTGGACGGGCGCCCTGTGGGAAGCGTACGAATTGGGTTATGCATGAGTACAGATTAACGGATGAAGAGCTTGCTAAAAGTGGTATAGTAATGGTAAGATCTGCCAAGAACTACTGTTTGGATGTTCTCTTCTTTTCTTTCATTTTATTTCTCTTGTGTTTCGTAAAAGGAATGTCTACTAGTGTCAAATGATATGGTAGGGGCACATCATTTACAACCTCTTTTAGACTCCACCATTGGTGGGACCCATACTGTGATGGCGCTGTTTTGCAATACATATGTCAGTCTTCCAAAGTTCATGAACAGGCGTTGTAGCTTTCCTATTTTATATATTTCCCCTTATATTACCTTGACACCCTGCTGAATGTTGAGTGTCACATGTTGGATCCTCCAATACTTCGATACCACACAACAACCAATCATTTAGTGGCCTTGTATGAAATTTTATAAAATCTAGAGTGTCGGAGGATCCGACACCGTGTTGGACACGGCACCCAAATCTTTGGGCGACATAGCTTCCTCCTTTTTTTTTTTTTAATCTCAACGTGTTCCTTTTGCAAATTAATTGCAACCTAACTTTATTTGGCCAATTATGCTATCTCTCTCTCCTCTTCACATGGGTCATTCTTTTTATCTTCCTCTATCTCTCTTCTCTCCTAAAATATCGTGTATCCACTCCATTTTGCAAGTAAATGTGAACTAAGGAAGTATAAGGCTAGTTGCAATTTCAAAACTGATACTGTGTAATGTGAGTGTCACGTGATCTATGTAGATTCTTCTACCAAGGATGTTATTCATTCCCTGGCAGGTTTGTTAAAAGAGTAGCATGCCTTTTGAGATCCTATCAAATGTGGAATGTCCAAAAGGCTTCATGGATATATAGGCTTTTTGTTTTTTGTGTGGCAGTTTTATCGTTTCAAAGCCATGCTTGGTTATTATCATTATTATTATTATCATTATTATTATTATTATATTGTTATTGTGTGTCCTAAAAATGGTTTTAAACTGATTAGAAAGCTTCCACGGCAAGAACTGCTCACTAGTAAGAGAAACAAAGATCACTTAGATTGTAAACCTACAAAATTTGGTATATGTTGCTACGATCTTTGCTAGGCAACCAACTTTAACACTTTTTATTTTTAAGCCTAAGTTTGTTTAGCTTGTAGATTTCAAAAGAATTTTCTTGAAGAGAATTTGCTTGGAATATGACAAAAATTTGTGATGTATCTAGGACTAGTGTCTTCTTCTTACATACGTACCTGCTTTTCTTTCCAGTGGTTGAACGGTTGGTGGAAATTGAGTTAAGTTGACTCTTCGGACAAATTTATGATATAGGAGTCACAGCAATAACTTTGTTTTTTTCATTTCCACATTTTTTGTTATTTTCAGATTACAATATTGCAGAATGCCCCGTTTCCCATTCCAGATTCAATACTGAGGTGTTGGTACCAGTTTCTTGGAAATGTCATATGGTGTCGGACTTCTTGAAATTGTGATTTTGAGTTGTGTATCTTAATTAGTAGTAATATATTTCGTCACTTCAGAGGGTTCTGATGCCAGGGTTCAAAGGATGATTTTGCTGTCCTTGTACCCTTTTTGTGTAAAAAGAGTATTGTTTGTTTTGAAAGGGTTAGGGATGTGCCTAACTGATCCCAGGTTTTATTTTTTTCTTTTGTTTTTTCTCCTTTGTTTTTTTTTTCTTTGTAAGGTTTTATTTTTCTTGCATAAAGTGACTAGTTAGTTCAGGAAACGTTTTTCTATTTTGTTCCTTCAAATTAGCATTAATTGCAAATTATGCTTTGCAACTGGATTATTATATGTCACCTGGTACCAGTGGAGTTTGTGTATGTGTGTGTGTGTTTAAATTAAAGATTAAGTTCATTGTCAAATTATACTGTCATATATCTTTCAGTTCTCGTTTTTGCACCAGCTCCTTATCGTGCACAATTAGCAACCTTTTCTCTTATTGAATCTATAGTGAAGTTATATACCCCGTAGTACACTTTAGAAATTTAGTTCTTATTAGATCAATTCAAGCCATTACAATTTCCAGAACAGCCTTATTACTACCTCCATTTCAAATGATTTGCAACGATTTGACATAAAGTGTGAGTAGAAAATGTCTAATCATTGCAAATAATTCAAAACGGGGGTAGTAATTTAAGCCTCTTGCATGACTGGGTTGGACAAAACTTAGCCTTATCCTAATGGGATCAATGAGGAAATATTTTGTTTCTTCAATGTATTAATTGATTTTCTTTTTGAAATTAAAGTTATGTTATGGATTTTCTATATTTATTACTTCGTATATGACTTCAAATAACTTCATTGCAGAATTTTTTTATCCTTGTTTTGGAATATCATGATTGTCAATTGGCATTTTTAGCATTTTTGTGTGTCCATTTTATTGACATATTAAACATGTGGTAAAATTAGTACTTTCTAACCTGTCATATACTATATTAACTAGTTCATTTTGGATGCATAGGATTCATATTTGCTATGCAAAATATTGAAGAAAAGTGGTCCAGGATTTAAGCCTGGTGAGCAGTATGGACCCTTTGTAGAGGAGGAGTGGGAGAAAGATGAATCTACCGTTGTCCCAGGAGAGGAGGGTGATGATGAAGCAGCCGGTAACGATGATGCACGTGTGGAGGTGAGTTGAACTTTAGTTGGATTCTTCATGGTTTGTTTTTATTGGTTAATAGGTAGTAGATATTATCATGTTTATTCATAATTGGCTCTTTTATAATACTTGGCTGAGCAATGTGATGATGAGCTGGGTGTTGTACGTTTCACATTTCAGTCGCTTTTTTGGGCATGCTTAGTTGGGTATTGAGTATTTGGCTGATCTGAGGCCTATTTGTTTTCCTTGTTAACATTTTGAGAGTAGTATGTGATGAATGATGCTCTTACTAATGTTAGCATGTTATTTAGTACCTATAGGAAATCCCAACATTAGTCTAATGCCAGTCTGCCGCAAGCTCTAAGATTTCCTTTGGTAGGTTCTGTACTAATGTTAGCATGTTCTCTAGTACTTATTTGAATTAGTCTGCTCTGTTTCACTCTCCTCAACACTGGGCCCCACTTTTCTTTTATTTTTTGTTCTTTTTAAATCTCTCTCCTCATCACATGGGCTCCTTGATGTGAGGATCCCACTGAGTTGGAAAAACAGAGGGTATGTCTTCTTTTTTGGGCACAGAATTTGTGACTAATTGATGAATATCCCATCCGCAAATTCGTCAACGACTCAACGTCTGTGACTGAAAAAGAGTGGGTCAAAGGATTTGGAGTTGATATTGATTGTTACTTGATCTTTTTAACTTCCTGTACTGTGATTTAGTTGCGTATCTTCAGCTATAGCAGTGGGTTGATGGCCTTTGTATTCGTTAATTTTTCTTGCGTCAAGGAGAACTGTTGTTTTCTCTGAGGAATGTTACTCTTAGCATATATCTGGTGGTTTTTGTCAAATAATTGCCACTGATTTACTTTGACCATTAATCAACTTCCACATCCTACCTTTCATTCTTTTCATTTGGCGAACACAATTTGTTCCGTCAAGAAGAAAGTAAATTAGATTGTTGAAAATATACCATGTTTGGTTGGTGGGCATAGAATTTAAATGGCTGTAATGGTCTTAAACAAAAGGAAGTTAGAGCATTAGAGTCACTTGTATTATGTAAATTTCATATCACCAAGTATCTACAAGGCTACAAATAGCTAGAAATTATTTTACAGTGATCTGGTTGTAAGAGGTGACTAGCAAATGTATTTCAAACTTGATATTGATTGTTACTTGTTATTTTTAACTACTTTATGTATTTTATTTCTGTCAGATATGTGCCTAAAACTACAATATGAATATTGATAGAATGAGTAATTCTTTGTCCATGCTTTTGTGGTATTTGTTATATCTTTCCAATTGTAAAAAAGATCTGTCACAAACATGAGGTTGACCCATATCTTGAAAGGTTGTAATAGAAAAGGAAAAAAAAAAGAAAAACAAACATTTATAAATTGTTGAATTGTGCATGCAATGAGCTATGTGTTTAGATGTCTGATAGATTTTATGTGAATCTAGCAATTCAGAATGCGTATTCAATTTTCTTGAACTTTTCCATTTTTTTTTTGTTTGAGGATGGTTCTTTGTTGGAAGAGGTGATTGGATAGGGTGTTTTTGCTTGCCAGTACCCTTTAAATCATGGTGTTTGTGAATATCTATAATATCAATAATATAGGGAATAACTTAAACTCTTTTCATATAGGAAAAATACACTTTAATAATCTCAATTATAGGCGATTTACTTCTAATAATCTCAACAAAGGTTTATTATCTAATAATCCCAACTATGGGATCAGTTTGCCACAAGTAGTCCCAACCGGTCATCAACCTGGTATAAAAAGTTACTTTCACACGTGGCATCACGTGAGTGGTTTAAAAACAATAAAAAAAAAAAAATTAAAAAAAAAAAAACCCTCTCCTCCCTACTAGACTCCCTCCTCCTAGCCCAACCGGAATCCGCCGTTACCTCACCGGAAAAACTCCCTTTCATACCACCCTAATGAAAACAACCCCCTTCCCCTGCCCTACCCCCGAAATTGCCCCTTCCCTTCCCCCACCCCCAAAAATGCCTTTAACCCATCCCCTACCCTTCACGAAACCACCACCCTCCCACCTCCCCCTTGAGAAACCACCCCCCCTCCCACTCCTTGCCCTTGCAAAAGCCTTTCCCCCATCCGAAATCCCTTCCCAGCCGCCAGTAAGAGAGAGAAAAAAAAAATATCAGCTGAATCGGGGGTAAGGGAATGGATGGGTCCGGATTCAAGAGCGGAGGAAGGGAATGGGGCCGGAATCGGCGGAAGAAGAAGGGAGAGAACCAAAGTCGAGGAAGGGAACGGGAAGGGGGGCCGGAATGTGGTGGTTTCCGGAGAGGAGGGTGGCTGGAAAAAGGGGTTTTCTTTTTTTTTTTCCCCTAGACCAATAGAAATGCAACACATGTAATTAAAAATTATTAATAATTTAACCTGCGTATTAGGTTATCGGTCATCTGGGACTATTGGAGGCAAATTGACATAATTGGGATTATTAGATGATTAACCTTAATTGGGATTTTTAGAAGTAAATAGCCCATAATTGGGATTATTAAAGTGTATTTTTTCCTTTTGTATATTAGTCATGAATTGGGAGCTATAATTTATAATTTCATATTTGTGAAATGTAAAAATATTTTGTATCATTCCTGGGGTTCAGAAACTCATACTCTTGAAATGCAAGGATATAATATTCATCCTTGGTTTTAACCCAGGATCTTGGGCACCACCCCTCAAAGATTGCATTAACATGATAAATATCATTATCATTCAACACTGCCACCCAAAAAGAGAAAAAAGAAAGTTACAGAGGGCCACAGGTAGTGGTGCCTCTGTTTAGGTGATGTGTATTATGCGAAGTACGCCGATATGTTTAATGTAGACATCTAATGTGCCCCAAGTGTTTCGGTGCCAGAAAATGACATTAACTCTGCTAATTCCCCTATATCTTTTTCTAAAATAATCATATAATCATATTTCCTTTCTCCTAGCATTAATTTGCTTCAAGATCATATTTCCTAAACTAGCTTTCGCACCATTTCTTTCTTTATTGCATCTGTAAGCCAAATATTATACCTGAGTGCCTTTAAGTTGCATCAGTTGCTGCTTTTTGCTGAGGTACATTTTGTCTTCAAAGAGGAGGATGCTCTCCAAACTTTCTTGTTTGTTAATACATATATAACCATTGAAGGGGGTGAAAGAGGGGAAAGAACAGCTATTTTGTGATCTTTTACATGCCTATTTTTTCCTTTAGACAATTATCGCACAGTTTCAGACTTGCATTGTGTTTTGATATTTCTGATGCTGGCAATCTCCCCTTGTATCTTCAGCATCTGGCTGATGATCTCCAATTTGGTGATATTTTGTTGGTGATCTCAAAGTTGATGGTTTCTTTGTTTGTTTGCGCTGAAGTATAAGAGGAAATTCAGTACATGCAACTCAAGCAAGTGATGTGAAACTGTCTTATATTCTCCCTGTACTTAATGCAAAAGAACGTTGAGATTAGTTTGCAAAGAGATCCATTAGCGAATATTTCTTTATGAAGTATAATACGAAGTATTTTATTAATATTCCTGATGTCTAAAATTCTGAATTCCTTACTTTTCTTAAGTCAAATCTTATAACTAAAGGATGGGCGTAGTGGGTTTGTGGGGAAGATGGTGCATAAAGTGTGTTTTTTTAATTGTGCTCTTCACTTGTTCCAGGATTCCATCCCATCCATCAACAATTCTGAATCTGCCCCAGTAACCAGCTGTGGGCTTTCAACTGAGGTTCAAGAGATTCCGCCTCTTTGCAAAGTGGAAAGGGCAGAAGAAGGCCCAGTACCTTGTACAGTTGATCCTGAACCATTGTCTCTTGGGCCTAATAAACGTTTAAGGCGTAGTGAACCTGACACCTGTCATTCTAACGCTTCAGAGATCTCAACCACAATAACACAGGGTCCCTGTTCTTCATCTACTGGGACCACAAATTTCTCGTCTGGGCTTTTAGATTTCCCATTGCTGGAGTCTATGGAGCCAAAAGAGCGGCCCTCTCCTCCTCCGGCCAATGTCATTGACATTAATGTCCCTCCAAGCTATTTGAAACTATTCGAAGAGCTGCGCAATGAAATTTATCGGACATCAATAGAGAAAGAGTCTCTAAAGATTGAAGTGATGAGCGCCAGGACCATGATTAACATTCTTCAGACAAAAGTTGATCATTTGACAAAGGAAAATGAGGACCTGAAGAAGAGCAGCTTGCGGGATGGCTAGGTTTTGTAGAGGTTTTTACCCCCTTTTTTTGGTTGTAGGCACATCTGTTGTAATATCAAATTGTCGTGTCATTGTTCGACAATCATTATGAATAGCGTTGTGCTCTCAACTATTGTAGTTTAACTTTCAGACATCTAGTTTTTGTATTTCTTTTAGTTACTCCTGCTAAGATTGTCTGCCTTATTATGTTGACATTATGGCCATTATATCTCTACCCTTTCTCTTCCCAGTCGGCTTCATCGGATATACCCAATTAAAATGCTTACATCTTAACGTAACTATGTTTCTAAGCTTGCCATAAAACAACATATTGATTTGTAATGTCCTTAGTTTAATTAAAAAACCAAATTAACTTTACTTAACAGTTTCGGTTAAATAGATTCAAGTTCTTGTATGTAGGGGTTAATTAGTTTCGAAACCTCTTCCTCCCTCTGCCTCTTCAACCAAACCCCATCAAAGGCAAAACCTAGGACTCTTGGAGAGCTCATCGGTTTCCAGGCGCCGGCAAGTTAAATGATTGTTTATAATTTCCTTTTTGCAAAGAAGATGCGTAGAAGGTTTTGTTTTGTTGCAGATCTGATTGTTAGAGACGTTAAAGAACCAGTGGTGTTGGTACACTTGTTAAATTTTGACCCGACTAACCCAACCCGACACATTTTTTATGGGTTTTGAACAAATCTTTTTGATCCGATACTCGATTTAACCCAAACATGTTTAGCTCGTAAGTTTGCTCGTCAAACCCGATCGCCAACCCATTTTTATAAGGTTTCTTTTTATTAAAAAAAAATACATTTATTGAAAAATGAAAACCTAGTTCTTTGATTGAGTTGATCATAATGCATTTCACTTTCATTTGATTCAAATAGCTTTTTTTGAATGTGCTTACCTTTCATTTGATTCAAAAAGATTTATCGAATGCATTTCGCTTTAGTTTGATTTAAATAGCTTTGCTTGAATGCATTCGACTTTCATTTGATTCAAAAATCTTTGTTTGAATGTGTTTGACTTTCACTTGATTCAATTAGGTTTGTAAAATACATTTCACTTTCATTTGATTCAAATAGCATTGTTTTAATGCATTTGAATTCATTTGATTCAAAAAGCTTTGTTTAAATGTGTTTGCCTTTCATTTGATTCAATTAGCTTTGTAGAATGCATTTCACATTCATTTGATTCAAATAGCTTTGTTTGAATGTGTTTGACTTTCATTTGATTCAATTAACTTTATAGAATTCATTTCACTTTCATTTGATTCAAATAGCTTTGTTTGAATGTGTTTGAGTTTCATTTCTTTTAAAAAGCTTTGTTTGAATGTGTTTGGCTTTCATTTGATTCAATTAGCTTTGTAGAATGCATTTCATGATTTCAATAACTTTTTTTTAAATGTGTTTGACTTTCATTTCATTCAAAAAGCATTGTCGAAGGCATTTCACTTTCATTTGATTTAAATAGCTTAGTTTGAATGTGTTTGACTTTATTTGATTCAAAAAGCTTTGTTTGAATGTGTTTGACTTTCATTTGATTCAATTAGCTTTGTAGAATGCATTGCACTTTCATTTGATTTCAATAGCTTTTTTTGAATGTGTTTGACTTTCATTTGATTCAATTAGCTTTGAAGAATGCATTTCACTTTCATTTGATTCAAAAAGCTTTGTTTGAATGTGTTTGTCTTTCATTTCATTCAATTAGCTTTGTAGAATACATTTCACTTTCATTTTTTTTAAATAGCTTTGTTCCAATGTGTTCCACTTTAAATTGATTTGAAAAGCTTTGTTTGAATGTGTTTGACTTTCATTTGATTTAATTAGCTTTGTAGAATGCATTTGACTTTCATTTGATTCAAATAGCTATGGTTGAATTTGTTTTACTTTCATTTGATTCAATTAGATTTGTAGAACACATTTCACTTTCATTTGATTCAAATAGCTTTGTTTGAATGAATTTGAATTTCATTTGATTCAAAAAGCTTTGTTTGAATGTATTTAACTTTCATTTGATTCAACTAGCTTTGTAGAATTCATTTCACGTGCATTTGATTCAAATAGTTTTGTTTGAATGTGTTTGTTTTTCATTTGATTTGAAAAGCTTTGTTTGAATGTGTTTAACTTTGATTTGATTCAATTAGCTTTGTAGAATGCATTTGACTTTCATTTGATTCAAATAGCTTTGTTTGTATGTGTTTGACTTTCCTTTGATTCAATTAGCTTTGTAGAATACATTTCTCTTTCATTGAATTCAAATAGCTTTGTTTGAATTTGTTTGAGTTTCATTTGATTAAAAAAGCTTTGTTTGAATGTGTTTAACTTTCATTTGATATCAATTAGCTTTGTAGAATGCATTTCACTTTCATTTGATTCAAATAGCTTTGTTTGAATGTGTTTAACTTTCATTTGATTCAATTAACTTTATAGAATACATTTCACTTTCATTTGATTCAAATAGCTTTGTTTGAATGTGTTTGACTTTCCTTTGATTCAATTAGCTTTGTAAAATACATTTCACTTTCATTGAATTCAAATAGCTTTGTTTGAATGTTTTTGAGTTTCATTTTATTAAAAAAGCTTTGTTTGAATGTATTTGACTTTTATTTGATTCAATAAGCTTTGTAGAATACATTTTAATTTCATTTAATTCAAATAGCTTTGTTTGAATGCATTTCAAGTCATTTGATTCTAAAAGCTTTGTTTGAATGTGTTTGCTTTTCATTTGATTCAATTAGCTTTGTAGAGAGCATTTCACTTTCATTTGATTAAAATAGCTTTGTTTGAATGCGTTTGACTTTCATTTGATTCAATTAACTTTATAGAATACATTTCACTTTCATTTAATTCAAATAGCTTTGTTTGAATGTGTTTGACTTTCCTTTGATTCAATTAGTTTTGTAGAATACATTTTACTTTCATTGAATTCGAATAGCTTTGTTTGAATGTGTTTGAGTTTCATTTGATTAAAAAAGCTTTGTTTGAATGTGTTTGACTTTCATTTGATTCAATTAGCTTTGTAAAATACATTTAACTTTCATTTAATTTAAATCACTTTTTTTGAATGCATTTGAATTCATTTGATTTAAAAAGCTTTGTTTGAATGTGTTTGCCTTTCATTTGTTCAATTAGCTTTGTTTCGCATTTCACTTTCATTTGATTCAAATAGCTTTGTTTGAATGCATTTGACTTTCATTTGATTCAAAACGCTTTGTTTGAATGTGTTTTACTTTCATTTGATTTAATTAGCTTTGTAAAATGCATTTGACTTTCATTAGATTCAAATAGCTTTGGCTGAATTTATTTGACTTTCATTTCAATTCAATTAGCTTTGTTGAATACATTTCACTTTTATTTGATTCAAATAGCTTTGTTTGAATGAATTTGACTTTCATTTGATTCAAAATGCTTTGTTTGAATGTTTTTTACTTACATTTTGTTGAATTAGCTTTGTTGAATGTATTTCACTTTCATTTGATTCAAATAGCTTTGTTTGAATGTGTTTGACTTTGATTTGATTCAATTAGCTTTGTAGAATGCATTTGACTTTCATTTGATTCAAATAGCTTTGTTTGTATGTGTTTGACTTTCCTTTGATTCAATTAGCTTTGTAGAATACATTTCTCTTTCATTGAATTCAAATAGCTTTGTTTGAATTTGTTTGAGTTTCATTTGATTAAAAAAGCTTTGTTTGAATGTGTTTAACTTTCATTTGATATCAATTAGCTTTGTAGAATGCATTTCACTTTCATTTGATTCAAATAGCTTTGTTTGAATGTGTTTAACTTTCATTTGATTCAATTAACTTTATAGAATACATTTCACTTTCATTTGATTCAAATAGCTTTGTTTGAATGTGTTTAACTTTCCTTTGATTCAATTAGCTTTGTAAAATACATTTCACTTTCATTGAATTCAAATAGCTTTGTTTGAATGTGTTTGGGTTTCATTTGATTAAGAAAGCTTTGTTTGAATGTATTTGACTTTTATTTGATTCAATAAGCTTTGTAGAATACATTTTAATTTCATTTAATTCAAATAGCTTTGTTTGAATGCATTTCAAGTCATTTGATTCTAAAAGCTTTGTTTGAATGTGTTTGCTTTTCATTTGATTCAATTAGCTTTGTAGAGAGCATTTCACTTTCATTTGATTAAAATAGCTTTGTTTGAATGCGTTTGACTTTCATTTGATTCAATTAACTTTATAGAATACATTTCACTTTCATTTAATTCAAATAGCTTTGTTTGAATGTGTTTGACTTTCCTTTGATTCAATTAGTTTTGTAGAATACATTTTACTTTCATTGAATTCGAATAGCTTTGTTTGAATGTGTTTGAGTTTTATTTGATTAAAAAAGCTTTGTTTGAATGTGTTTGACTTTCATTTGATTCAATTAGCTTTGTAAAATACATTTAACTTTCATTTAATTTAAATCACTTTTTTTGAATGCATTTGAATTCATTTGATTTAAAAAGCTTTGTTTGAATGTGTTTGCCTTTCATTTGCTCAATTAGCTTTGTAAAACGCATTTCACTTTCATTTGATTCAAATAGCTTTGTTTGAATGCATTTGACTTTCATTTGATTCAAAACGCTTTGTTTGAATGTGTTTTACTTTCATTTGATTTAATTAGCTTTGTAAAATGCATTTGACTTTCATTAGATTCAAATAGCTTTGGCTGAATATATTTGACTTTCATTTCAATTCAATTAGCTTTGTTGAATACATTTCACTTTTATTTGATTCAAATAGCTTTGTTTGAATGAATTTGACTTTCATTTGATTCAAAATGCTTTGTTTGAATGTTTTTTACTTACATTTTGTTGAATTAGCTTTGTAGAATGCATTTCACTTTCATTTGATTCAAATAGCTTTGTTTGAATGTGTTTGACTTTCATTTAATTCAATTAACTTTATAGAATTCATTTGACTTTCATTTGATTCAAATAGCTTTGTTTGAATGTGTTTGAGTTACATTTCATTTAAAAAGCTTTGTTTGAATGTGTTTGGCTTTCATTTGATTCAATTAGCTTTGTAGAATGCATTTCATGATTTCAATAACTTTTTTTAAATGTGTTTGACTTCCATTTCATTCAAAAAGCATTGTCGAAGGCATTTCACTTTCATTTGATTTAAATAGCTTAGTTTGAATGTGTTTGACTTTATTTGATTCAAAAAGCTTTGTTTGAATGTGTTTGACTTTCATTTGATTCAATTAGCTTTGTAGAATGCATTACACTTTCATTT